GGGGGGTGAAAGTCTGGACTGACTGCCTGATTGATTTATGAAACCCAGAAAAACCACACCAGGGCAAGATTTTGGGGAGAAAGGATGAATGCAGCTTTGAACATGTTGAGTTTTAAGCACCTCTGCGGACTTTAGGTGGAAATATCCAGTAAAGAAATGGGTACGTTCCTTCCATTGTGGCTGGCATTTACTGCAGGAACCCTGAGCTGACACTTCGTGCTTCCTCTGCACCTCTTGGCACCCCTTGCACAGAAGAGCTTTTATGATTCTCGTCACAGTTCAATGAAGTGGCATGTCACTGTCCATCGCAAAGAGGTGAGACATGACAGGAAGCTTCAATCCGGCCAGGGAGGCTGCCTTTTCACCCCTCACCCCTCCTGCAGAATTCTTCTGTAGACAGCAAGGAATGAGACAGCTTTGGGCCCAGTGACCTCCTCTTTCACCAAGATGGAAAGTCCCCTAACCCTCTGTCTCTTTGGGATCTATGCACATCATGGCTGGGATAACTTCCAATCTCACTTGGAGATAATAGCACATCCTCATAAATGTGGTGGAGTGGAACAGAGCAAGCCCTGTAACCGTTAGAGGAGATGGTGCATGTGAAAAATGCTTCGCACAACTTGTTGCTTTGCCAATTGTGCTATTACTAGGGAACCCCCATGGTTTTTCGGACTTCTATGAAAGGCCAACGAGCTTCCCTCACGCTAGTGGCTGCGATATTATAAGTAACAGCCACAGAAGGGAAAGTTGAGTTCTTGCTCTATATAAGGCAGCACACTGAGTACTTTCACGGCTCTAATACATTAATTCCTGAAGCAAACCCACAAGGTAGTGCTATTATTACTCCCATTTTTAAGATGAGGAGACTGAGGCAGAGAAGTGAATTACTCAATGTTAGAAAGTAACAGATGCAGGATTCAAACCTGGCCCTGCCTGGGTCTAGAGTTTGAGCTTTATATCTTTAAGGGAACCTAGTTATAAATGTACATATATACCTCCCCATTTTCTGCCAGAATTTTGAGTCACTATTATTATTAGCACATTACCAGAAACTGAGTATAGGGAGGAAAGAGAGGCAAAACAGATGGAAAGATTACTTATTCAGAGCTGGAATACTGAATAAAAGCTCAGGGGGTGGGAAGAGATTTAAATTATTGATTGGTTTCAAAGAAGGGGTTTTGAATAGTGTTGAGATCCACTGTGTACTTATCAGTTAAGAGTACATCAGCTTTGACAATAACTTCTTTGATGTTAGAGGTCAGGAGAAACTAGTATATGAAGTAGGATTGAGAAATGGGCAGAAAGATGCTATTGATGTGTCACTCACTTTCTGTTCTAACCACCATCCCACTTTGTGCTCAGGATTT